TGCGTTTCCATGTTCCATGCTATGGGGCATGGTCCGCTGATAAAATTCAGCTGCCGCCAACAACTTGGGCAGTGTTTCTCAAGTTATACAGATTTTGACATGGAAGTCGCACAATTTGTAATACTCTGTGGAAAGTAAAAGAATCAAATTAATTTTGATACACATTCCATATAAGTAATGTAATTAATTTTTTATTTTATTTTTTTGTCAAATGAACAATTAGAAACTTAATGCAATTAATTCTATGCAATGGATTTCACATGTTTTTGATTAGAACCCATTAATGGTAGTAGACAAATATTGGTAAACATTGCTCCTAAATATCATGCAACTTACAATTGACCATAAGAGGTTTTGTATTATGGTAAGACTAGGGTGTAGGGGAGAGAGAGAGAGAGAGAGAGAGAGAGAGAGAGAGTTGTATAATGAATTGCTACCAAACCGAATTAATTACTTTATGGGTGTCCCAGTCAACCCTAGAATTTTGTAGGCTTCTTTCTTGCCAATGCTATTGGCATCCTTTGTACAGCAGAGCTCACACGAGGTATGGCCAAGGAAACAGCCAACTTGGCCAGCCATACTGGTCCATTAATTTACGCCCTACTTTAATGGACAATGGCCAAAAGGACAAGTAGCATTATAGCAGCAGCCGCTGTACTTTTCGACCAGTTGTTTGTCTAGTCTAGGGTTAGATTAAAATGGCTTGGAAAAGAAAAACAAGATATTAACTTTATATAAAAAAAAGGATTCAGCCAAAAGAAAAGGAACGTTTATAACAAGGCATCTCCTTTGTTTTTTACCACTGAAGTCTAAACAAAACATAATTTTATAAGCACAACCAACAACAGGCAATAAAAATGGAAAAAGTAAATTCTTAAACTGACTATATTGCAATATTTTCCCACCTTGCTTCTAGCTCACATACAAATACAAAAGCAAACCTGCTCCGCAATGGAGATATGATCTAGATTTACAAGACGGGAAATAACAAAACAAGTAAAAGGCAATGGTAAAGAAAATTAAAACCCAAAAAAAAAAAAACATATCTGATATTAAGCACCACTGAAAGAGAAACCCTAAACCCAAAATCCTAGGCAACCAAAACCTGTTAGGAGCTTCTGCAGAACAGCTGTAAATAGACCCAAAAGAAAACTGTGGCGGGGGTGGTTGGGGCGGAACATAGATTACTCAGAACCCTAGCCTGCCTCAAGATACATGAAATTCTAGAGATTTGACTTGCCACTCAACGAATTATTGACTATTCTCTAGCAAAGCAAGTCAACAGTCATCAGAGCGGCGGTCCAAGAAGTAGGCACAATTGGCAAGTAGTTTCTAGTAGCTCTCATATATTCATCCACAGCAGCAAACTTCCAATGCAACCTGGACCGCCATTATGCAAGGCAAAGGCTAGCAACCGTTCGCAACCCCATTAGCTACAACCCTCTTCTCTGACACAACTGGCTTAGCACCCTTTGGGGCATCTCCAGCTGCAATCAATCCATTTTCTGCAAGTTTCGCCTCTTCAATTGCATGCACTGCTGGAATAGATTCTTTGGTCAAATCAGAGGGAACCTCTGATGAATTTTGAGTTTTCAGTTGCCCATTTGCTACCTCTTTCTTCTCATCAATGGCTTTTCCTTCCCATACCTGCTTTGGTATTTTAAAAAATAAGGACAAATGTCAGGTATTTAGAACTGTTAAACATTTGTCACAATATATAGAAAATAGATTAACAACTTTAAAACTGTTTCAGATCGATAGAAAAGGCAGAGTCTTGACCTGTTTCTGAAACTGCTGTTGCTTAGCCTTCTTCTCCTGAATTGTCTTCTGGCGGGACTCATAAAACCCAAAGTCATCCAAGATGCATGTTTTGCTTAAATGTTCCTTGAAAATTTTAATCATTTTAAGGCCCGGCTCCAATTTGACCTACACAAACCCATAAGATTAATATTCAAAGGGGAAGAACAAAGAAGATCAAGGCAAAAAATCTGTAGGATGTAAAATTACCTCCTGAGTGTCCCTGCTGTTGGTCACAGGTTTGTTCTCATTATTCTCAAGAGTAATGTGCTTCAACAAACTGTTGGGAACATCTTTAACAATATGCCACTTGACAGGGAAACAGCCATTCCACTTGTCTTGCTGCCAGTACTCTAGATTCTTGTTAAAATCAACAGGTCCCAACATCTCTGCAAGGCCTACAAATTGTCCACTGGTATTGACCTGCAAGGAAAACAAATAAATTACAACACATCCAAAAGTACTTTTGAACTATAACCCTCTCAATGCCTAGAAACAAAAGACTCACCGAGAATAAAAGAAATACAGGACAGCCACCAGATTTCTCCTGAGCCTCCTGGTATGCAGCATGAAGCTTCTTGTTGCCATTTGGCGTGCTGGCCCAAACATTATACTTAATGCTCTTATGAACATCATCCTCACTGTATGACTTAATGATGAAGAATTTGGCATCAGTATAATCCTCGGGAAAATCAGCTTTATTGTATTGTTCTCGGTCTGGGACACTTGTTTTATCCTTTTCCTCATCATTATTAAGATTTGTTGGCACCTGCCCCTTGATCGCTAATGCATTAGGCACAAAACCTTTTTGATTCTTGGAGCTCTTTGCCCGAGGTCCCCTATTGAGTTCATTCAAACCATCCATATTCTCATTACCATATCCATAGTATCCGCCATTTCTTCCCCTGGGTTTGTACTTGCTGTCAACAGCCAGCCATGTGCGTCCACTGGTTCGTGAATCATAACCATGAGATCCAAAGCCCATACCAGATCTAACTGTGTTTCCATACTGACCATAAAGTTTGTTGGGGTACATCCTATTTATAAACCCTTGAGCTGTACCCATTCCAGACAATGGCCTTGGGTGGTGCAAACCCTGTGAAATCAAAGAAATAAAATTCATGAGGGTGGACATATCTAAAATAACATTCGCAGTTGAAACATTTAAATTAAATATCAAAATCACCAGTTAAAGGAAATCCAAGTCAAGTCTTCCAACCAATAACAAGATTCCAATTGTATAAAACAAGGATAGGCCCAACCTACAGGTTGAGCCCACCGATTCTCCCCTGCCTTAGATGTTTTCACACCAAAAGGTTAGAGGTTTGATATATGGACAAGGCCATAATTGAACAATCATGTCATACAACACAGTTGACATTTCCACATATCCACTGGTGGCCGGAAATAGGGCAGTCTCCATATGAGGTGACCGTCTACATGTAAACTTCCACACATTGAAATTTACAAAAACAAATCAGGAAAAAATAAACATACCATGAAGTGAGAATTTGGACGGTAATTCTGATTCCTTGCAGATGGAATGTTATTGCCATTTGAGATTGAAGAAGTAATTGTTGTACTTGTAACAGGTCTAGGCTGCCCATCCGAAAAAAGTGGGGCATCCAACCACGGAAGGGGAGAACGTAACCCGTCAAACCCATATCTCGGGTCCTGGTATCCAGGAGTAGGAACACGTCCTGGCATAGCACCCCTTCCATATGAACCATTGGAGTTGAAAGATGAGTTTTGATATGTTGATAAGGGAGCTGAAACATTATTTCCTTTCACACTTCCACCATTTGCAATGCCGTTAGAAATCCCATTAGCTGTTTCCACAGGCAGAGGCTTATGGTCAGCAGCTACAGAGGTGGATACCTCACTTTGCGGGGCAGCAGGGCTGGGGGTATATGGTCCACTGGTTGGAGTCAGAGGCTGGAAATAGGGAGGATATTGGTAGTGCTGAGGCCCATATAACTGACCATCATTTCCCATAGTTGGAACTGGGGAACCTGCCGGTGAATATGGACCATATGGTGCATACCCATACCCATGGTGGTATAAAAGAGACCCATTATCCCCATAAACTCCCTAAAACAAACAAGCAGATTTAACATAAAGTTAAAACAATGAGATTTAGTCATGTGAGACACAAAATAAAACCAAATCATGAATTATTACCCAAAAAGTGAAAGAAGAAAAAAAAAAACTTACAGAAGTCATCTCAACTCCCTCAGGATTTACATATCTCGAGTAGTCATCCCACTCGTTGCCAGTCCCATCATAGCCTATAAGAAATTCACAGAACCATCCATATCATATACATAAGAATTTCACGGGGAATTTAACAATCCACCACTAAACCAATCTCCAGTTGAGGGTTCTACGTCAATTTACCTCCATAGTAATAGGCAGACGGATAAGCATTCGGGAGATAGCATAGAGATGGATCCATGAAATCAGGTAACAATGGAGTCACGGAGCGCTCTGATTGGATCTGACCATTCGCAGCATTTCCAGAATCAATAGACCCATATTGATTAACAGAAGGCTGCATTGAGAAAGCAACTAACCTTAGAATCACATATCAGATTAAATAATTGAATGTTTCAGTATGCAGTTTGAGAAGGCTTTTTCAAGTTCCACTTAAATTCAGCAAATAACCATATTTTCTTTGATTCCCAGAAAATTAGCAGTTCGAAATGTATGGTACCTTCTTGGTTGGCTCAGGAATTTCCAGGGTCTTGGTTTGAGAATCTAATGACAACTTCTGTAGCAAATCTGCTGCTTCTAAAGAAAGCAAACGGTGAAGGAAATACATACTTTTGTAATAGACATATACAATCAACAAACAAAAACACCACGTGAATCCAGTGAGCATAGTTTGAATTTGACATGAGGGTAAAAACTCCATTAATGAAATCACTCCAACACAAGTTATAACCAATTCATGAAAATCGTCTAATATGAAACTGTCAATTCAACCAGGCCTAAACAAACTATACTCATGAAACAAACCAAAAAGAAATTGTCAAAGTCCAGGCATACGAATTTTTAAAATAACAGGGACTTCTATTTCTACACACAGAACCATGAATTTCCAGCCGCGGACCACAAATCAAGCCTAAAACACCTTAACACCAAAAGAAAGCGTCACAAACCAAGAGCTAAGCAAACATCATAAAAGAGGCTTACTGCGATCTACATGTTAAGCATAAACCAATAACAACAAAGACAGAGAAGATCCAGTTTGATCCAAAACAAATCAAAGAAGAACAGATCTCAATAAGGAAAACCAAAAACAAAGAATACCCAGATGGTTAAAATTATAAGGATACGATCCGCAGGAGGAGCAACGGTGGCCATGGCCGTGAATTGATAGCTAGATCTTCTACTTATCCGAAGTATTACTAAAACACCCTAAATCTCAGAGAAAGGTAATTGGGGTTTTAGCCAACGGAGAGAGAAATCCTGAGGCTATAAGAGAGAGATAGACCGAGTGGGAGAAGAGGGAACAACGGGTCTCACAGCCGCCAAGGGTTTGGGTTTTGGAAAGAGAGGGTTTTGTTCATCCAAAAGCGGTGATTCAAATAGCACCACGGCTCTTCTTCAATACTCTCATTAAATCACCTGGGGGTCACTTTGTGAGCTCATCGAGCCTCTCCTATTGGGCCATAATTCCACGTGGCGGAAACTAAATGGGCTTAAGGATGTTCTTTTTGGTCTTTTCGGTCAATGTGAATTCTGATTGGCCCGGTGACACTCCTTTTACATTGCTGGTTGTACCCATTATGAGGAGTTTGGAAACCCTAATTACAAAAGGACATCGATGTCCCCATCCCACTCGGGCATGTGGTAACAGTGCTTTGGGCTCTATGCTTTTTACTTGGGGATGACTTTTCGTGATTGTGGGCATTTTGGGGCTTTCACTGTAAACAACCGAATTTTCCAAGGATTGTAATTTGTATCAATGAAAGAATAAATAACCACTGTTTGATTTTTACTGAAGTATATACTAACGCCCATTCTTGTGCTCTATATTATGAGTTGTGAAATTAAAATAGGATAAATCATATTTTTTTGGTCATGTAATATTAAAACAAAAAATGGCCGTAGAATGAGAATCCCGATCGATCCGATACCCCATTTTCGAGGTGAGTCCATAACAATGTCATTATTTAAGCGTTCGCGTATGTTACGTGTGCGCGTATATTTCCCCATAGAGTAGCTGGTCCAGCTCCTCCTTGTTTTAATTTTAATCTTCATAGCTTGTTAGCGTTCTCAATTTGGTCCCAATTTGTATTAGGTCAAATTAATTCATAGAATATAAACCAATAACTTTTGCCTTAGAAAATACCATGGAAGAATAATTAAATTTTTATGAAATCAAATCGCAGTGAAGACTAAATTTGTTTACCTTTTGATCATTTATGTTAATTAGTACCACAAACATATAAATTTGTAGCGAATTTTAATTTATTTATTGGAACTAAAGAGACGAAAGTGAATTTTAGTCTAAGTAACATAAATCAAATATTATTTCAAGCACATTTGGGAGTGTTTTTGAAAGAGCCAAAAGCATTTTTGATTATGTTCGGCACAAAAATTTAGAAGTATTTTTGCTAGATAAGTAGTCCCAAACACACCCCTAGTTATTCGAATATGGGGGCATCATAATCACCTTTTATACATTATGACACACTTTTAGATCATTAATGTGATGCTAATTCCTTTTGCGTGTTGGTTGCACAAGTATGTGTTAGTCCCACTTTCGATTGCTTAATAGGTTGATAAGATTTATGGAATAGCTAAAACCATTTTATGACAACCAAAAACGCTTCGAATATCGTTTGCTAAAAAAGTTTAGAAGTGATTTCTAGATAAGTACTTGCTATGTGTTTCTTCATGAAACACTCCTAAATGTTTTTCTAGTAAGCAATTAGATTTCTTATGAAAATTCAACATCTTTATAATAAAAGCGATTTTGCTAGAAACGTTTATGAATCTAAGTGATTCCTAAAAAAATAATTTCAAACGAGGCCTTAGTGCTTAATTTGTTCAAGAGATTATGTTGATATTACAAACACATTATTAGGTAAACGAGATACCTAGTTGTTTCTTTAATATATTTTATGTTAAGCAACTGTTGTTGATAAGATTTGAACTTATAATATTTTACAATAAAATTAAAATTTACCGTTACTAAATCAAATGATCATTAGTACGTGATGAAACACCCTAGTGTCTTTCTAGGTTTAAAAAGAAAAAAATGTTATAAACTTTCGTCACATAGGCAAAAAGAAAACAATGAAAGAACAAACACAATTGAATTCCTCAGTGTTAAGGTAAAACTTGACAACAATCAACGAAAGACCCAATTTGGCATTAATTAATAATAAAGTTTAACCTAAATATAATTATTTAACCTAAGGCATTAGTGTAAATGGGCTCATGTAGACCTTTATAGGAGACTCATGGCCCAAACACCATGCATGCTTATTTCAGTTCAGGTGACTTTCTTTGAAATATTCGACAAAGACATCAGGCATAAAGTTTTATTTATCACTTTGTTAATTTTTTTTTTTTAAAGTCAACAGAGAAATGAAAGAACATGTAGCATGTCCGAGTAAAAAAAACACAGAAATTAAGACAAACATATATGTAATGCAGTCTTTATTTGTTTTTTGTGTGTCAAACATTAGGTGGGCTTAAATTGCGTTTTGTGATTTTCTGGGTGATGGAATATATTCATAGGAGTCACAACAGGAGGTATTGATAGATACAACCAAGGGGCTCCTGACCTTGTGGAGGCCATCAGACCACACTATTTCTCCAAAATCATATCTCCCTTGAGACTCCTTCTTTGGTTTGAGGGTCACATAATATGTGCTTTCCACTTTGAACCATGAGAAGATTAAAACTCTAGGCCATATCACCACCTCAACTCCATCAGGCTCAGAAATGGTACAAAAATAAATGACATTCTTGTTTTTCCCAACATTACGCACATTTCGTTTGATTGTCACAGTAGATTGGAGATTAGAAAATGTGATGGAAGGGTAATTTAAGTTGACATTTGATTGGAGTACTTGTGGACAGCTTATGTCAGTTCCTGAAGGGCAAAGAACAATCTGGCTGATTTGGTCTTCAGTGTAGCCAATATTGCAGAGGAACAGAATGTAATCGCTGGTTTTCATGTCGTAAACGAGCCCTGGATCCATTGCTTTGATGGGGTCAATGTGGCCAGCGCCAGAGTCTAAGGGATCAGAAGCTTTCATAGATCCATCTGCTACAATGCTGTCAAAGGATGTGTCCCTTGTGTATGCTGCATGTGACAAGTTAATTTCAAACATGTACCACGTATATTAAAGTATAATTTAATTTTACCTTGATTATAGTGGTGATAACAACTAATAAGTACTTACCTGTGGTGACGATAGCAGATCGAATGGCTGCAGGAGACCAAGTTGGATGTGCAGATTTGATAAGGGCAACGACTCCAGAGACATGAGGGCATGACATTGATGTTCCTGACTGAAAATTCCAGCTAACAGAACGCTTATCGTCAAGCGTCAAAGTGGGAGATGTTTGAGGAGGCCATGCTGCCAATATATTTACCCCTGGAGCACTTATGTCTGGCTGTTCATAATATGACATGGAGATGGATGGAGGGGATCATGAAAATATTGTACATATGTACGTATATATCGGTTATTGAACATAAAATACCTTGAGAATATCAGGTGTGATTGAGCTTGGGCCTCTTGAAGAGAAGTATGCAACTCTAGGGGCTGGTGACTTGCCAATAACAGTTTTACTTGATTCTATCTGCACAACAGGTTTCCTGTGTGGTGGTGTGTATTTCACAGAATCACAGTATTAGGGTTCATTAAGTTTACAAGGAATATAATTAGGATATAAGTAAGTATGATTTCGCCGTAAACAACTTACGTGGGAGATTGAGCAAGATAGTGCTTGATTTTAGTCCCCTGCTCAAGGTTGACATGGACTGAGGGGATGATGTCCACAGCAACCTGCCTTGTCATAGCTTCCACAAAGATCAAAGCTGATGCATTAGCTTTCTTGGCAGCTGCTTCTGCCTCATCAATTTCATAGGGTCCAATGCTAGAGAAGCACAGAATTACTCTCCCCACAGCAAATTTTGATTGTATCCAATTTTCTGGCCTGCAAACCCTGCACTTTTTTTGTTTACTATAAGTACAAAACTCTGTCACTCTCAACTCAACTAAGAAATATATAAACGTTGAGAGAGAGAGAGAGAGAGAGAGAGAGAGAGAGAGAGGTCACCCATTAACAAAATATGTGGTCGCATCTGCCAATTTTCCCTTAATAGGTGTGATGATAAAGCTTTCTCCCTGTACAAAATGGAATCTACTGAATGATTTTAAGGCATATACAAATTTATACAAGCTCTGTCAGCCTTGTCAAAATATTAACTACCACTCAGATCAGAGGTTTGGTAAGGAAATGATTATGTTTGTGACCCACTGCTAATTATTCTATCACCACAAAACTCTCAACCATATATTGCCGTACAAAAATTTTCACTTCTTAATTATTGGGGCATAATTAACATGTTGTGATGTCCAATTAGAGAAACACATATAAAAATAATAATTAGTCAATTTGGAAGAGACTTAGAGCTAATAATTAATTAAAATGCATGCATGAATTACCATGACATAGAGCTTATTATCCAAGGTTATCCGGGTTGGAAACATTCTATCAACAGAGGAAGCAGCTACACAAATTCCCCATGGAGCAACATTTGTGACCTGTGATGGATCTGGCCCTTCATTACCTGCAGAGAACACCACAGTAACACCTAATTGCATTGCATGGAATGAACCAATTGCAGCTTCTGATACAAATAGAGGTAACAATGGCGGTTTTGATCCAAACGATGCGGAGATTACATGAACTCTATCATACAAAGCATCATCAAAACCTGCAAGGATGTCTGCTTCAGAGCACTTCCCATCATAATCCTTTCCCCAACAAACTTTGTACACTGCTAGACGAGCCCTTGGTGCTCCTCCCCTGGCAGTTCCCTGCGCCAAACCAAAGAAACTTGCATTGTTTTTCACTATTGAACCCACTGCTGTTGAGGCTGTGTGTGTCCCATGACCTAGAAAATCTCTAGCTGATCGATATTCTGGATTGCCACTCGTGTTTAGTGGCCCGTATTCTTCTTCAAAACCTCTGAGGTAGTAACGAGCACCAATTAGCTTCCTGTTGCATGCTTTTGCTGGCTCAAACATTTCTCCTTTAACACACCTTCCCTTCCAAGTTGAGGGGATAGGCCTCATCCGGGGCTCTTCTCGGAAGCTATCTGATTCGGGCCATATACCTAATAGATCACCCAAAACACATATATAATACACAAAATAGCTAGCTAGGTTGTCAAAGATAGACGACATGTGGAGTCATATCTAGTAATGAAATTAAAAGACCTGTGTCAAATATCCCAACAATAATGTCTTCACCATAGGCTAGTTGCAATGGAGTCCCTGCAGCACTAGTACTGCTACTGCTGCTTAAGGTAAGTCCCAAGAAGTCCCAACTTCTTGTTGTGTGCAACCTCAGTGTCTTGCTTCTAAAAACTGATATCACTTCTTCCATCTCTGCAGTATTTTTCATCTTACAATATTAATTCATGTTTCTTAACCACTAATTTCTTTAACAAAACAGCATAAAAAGCAGAGAAAAAGAAAAAGTTAATCATTAGCTTACTAGCCAAGGTGGTTGCTTGAGATGAATTGAGCTTTGCTGAAAACCCTGAGAAACTGTGCTTGTAGCTATAAAGCATGGATTGCCGAACATCTTCTTCACTAAAGATAATTGAATGCACAGAGAAAAATATATAAGACCTAGCTAAGTGATGTATATATAAGAGAGAGAGAGAGAGAGAGAGAGAGAGAGAGAGAGAAAACCTTGCAAAAACTTTGGAAAGGAGTTGAAGATGATGTTTGGAAGCGAGATGAGGATCATGAACATTATGGCTGTTCCCCAAATAAACTATATACACCTGCATAAACCAAGGAAATTAGAGTAAAGAGGGTTATAATTATGAGAAAGGTGACAAGAAAAAGTGGTGAAACAATTTTGTGAAGAAAAGTTACATGAGGTGTGGAACTTGAGTGAATAAAATAAAGTGAAAGTGCAAGGTATAGGCCCCAAAAACACTGAGAATTAGTAGCCATTGTCTCCTGTGGAAGAATCACATGGCTGGTTGGGGATTAAATAGTGGCCTTCCAAACAATGCTTATAGAGCGTGCGTTCCAAGGCTTTCAAAGCTGCAAGAACACTGACATCTCCTCATCCATGAACCATGATGATTTTTTCTCTTCCAAGCTATCTATATATCATATTTTCCAAATTAAGATGAGGGCATAAGCCCCTTTCTACTCTCTCTCTCTCTCTCTCTGAGTCTCTACCTCTGGCCCCAATGTATTTTCACATGCATCTATACGTAGTACTGTACCTATCAACACCTTAGGAGGGATTGCAAACCTCCATCATAGTTACCATGAATGCTGTTAAGCAAAATGCATGTGCCCTTCATCATACTAGCTATAAATCTTTTTTCATGCAGTCTCCTTTTCCTTGTAACAAATTAGTAAAAATATGATAACTGCAGCATTACTTTACTTTCAACAATCCTCGAGAAAAGAAAGCGTACATAAGCTCTAGCTATATTCTCTTCCTAGCTAACTATCACTGCATAATATAATTTTCTTTTTTCCAACTTGTCGAAAAAAATAAATCTGAATTAGAAATCCCTGACAGAAAATTAAAATCTAGAGTTATAGTATAGCTGATAAGAAAATAGTTTTACAGGACTAGACACCACCAAGATTAATACCATATTGCTTTTGTGTTTAACTTCTTTTTGAAGGTTGCAACCCTTATTTTTCGGGTTCTTGTCTTTCTATGCTACTGTCTGTAGCCCCTGTAGATTACTCATTTATCCAGCTTTCTAGCTTTTAAAGGTGCATAGAGTGTATGAGTATGGATCAATCAAACCTTATAGACTTGCATATTGATTGCTAGTGTTGCCCCAAGCTATGCTATGCTTCTCTTTAAGTAGACTAACTTAGGGGTTTGTTGTAATTCACTCTTTTCCATATTTTCTAATGGAAATCTGTATAGACAAACATAGTATTCATACTATTATAATGCCCTAGGATATACATCTATATCTAGAGGATCAAACTTCATAGAGCATGCATGCGATCTATACAATGATCTGACATTATTCAATGGAGATATACTAATCTGACTAGAAGAAGCAAAGTTATGGTTAATCAAAATCATTGCAATTGAAAATGTTTTCCTAACACATTGCGTGAATCGTTTCTAATTCTCTTGCGTGATCGAAGGTTTATAATCAAGAAAATAAGACTTTCGAAGCACGATTTAACCTTCCAAGTTCACATCATTAAGTCTGCTTCCATATAAATGTTAAGAACTTGCTTTATTGATAGGCATCCTCATCCTTAGCAACCTATTATTGCATCTTCATGGCGTCATAATATGATTGATATAAAGCATACATCTAGTTTGCTTTGATTAGCAGGAATTTCAAGTGCTACATAAATATGTTTCTTGTGGCAATAAAAAGTTGCTTAAATTCTATGGTTAATTAAGATCAGTTCACCTTCCAGAACTATAATGTTTGATGTGATAGAAAAAAAAACTGAAGAAGACATTGCTGCAAAATTATCATTTCACATTTTCACATGTAAATATGCTTTTGTGTTCCAAAGCAAAAATAGAAAGAAATTTTGGTTATTCATCGTTTTGTACAGAAGCATATATATGAATGTGGCTCACAGTGCAAATAAGCTTGTAGATAAGCATGAAAGTGATTCAATAATGGAAAAGAGATATCATCTTCTTTCCAGATAGAGAGAAGTTGATATGTAGAGTTCTATCAAGGTTAGGTTTGAGATGTTCTCTCTAGAGCCACTTAACCTAGCAGTTCTTTTATACATTTTCATTGTATAAACACAACTTTGAAGTCTCTCCAGACTCCAACCTCTGTGTTTGTCTGAACTCAGGCAGGTATAGAATTAATCAAAGGCAAGTGCAGATGAGTCTTTTGAGTTTTAAATCCTGCAAAACAAAACTAAGGAGTTGAAGTTCCCAACCAGCTCTGGACGTCTGGTATAGCTTGCTAGCACAAAGAAGCTGGTGTGCTTTAATTAGCTGCATGGCTTTTAAGGATTGAACAAACAATCCTGAAAATTAATGATGATGATCTAAAATATCAGAAAATGACTCATTTACCCCAGCTCAAGCTTGATAACCATCCAAACTAAACAAATTAGCAAGCTGTTGTGTTTTGCAGAGACGGGACCAATTTGTAATCAAAGCATTCAATTAGGCAACAGGAGCAGATAGATGGAAGTAGTGTGCAATGATTGATTTTGAAATAGTCACAGTATTAGTGAAAAGTTCTTTGTAATTGTAATTTTGGTTTAGAAGCAAGATAGTAAATCTAAATTTACAGCTATCATTCTCTGAGTTCATTATAATTAATGGATATATGTTAATTAGATTATGATTATTAGATATATAAACACATTATTATGAATAGATAAAGACATTGACATTGACTGCACGTGTTGGTAGATGTAGAGCATGAGCATGCGGGAGAAAGCGGTGGTTAGCTTGCTTTCTTCCATCCATGTCAATCTGTGGTCACCATCTTCATCTCCTCCAGACTCCAAAACAGAACAAGAAGGGGCAATATTATATGCACCGTATATGAGATATATAAGATCCTATAGATTTTATATTGTAGAGCATGAGGATGAGGTTGGATTGGACCCCACCTTTGACTAACACCTTCCTTTTCACTTTGACTTCTCTCCTTGGCAAACTAGTACAAGCTACTGAAGAAGAACCATCCTCAGAAGAAGAGTTAAATATCAAGCTTTCTCACTGTCATGTCACACACACACAAAAGTTGCAAAGCTATGTAGTTTAGGCGTGCATCAATATCAGCCAGCCTAACATGTATTGTACTAGCTGGCTAATTAACTTGGGAAATTTTAAAAGAGAAGAATCCACCAGAAAACCAAATCTTTCAGCAAGAAAAGTATACGGTTGAAAGCTGTTGTGTTGCTCAGCAGCAGGACCAGTGACTTGAAAGTAAACATGCAACTTCGACAACACGCCTTTATTTACAGCAGCCTTTTTGTACTTACATGTACCTGCACAGTGCTACACTGCAGAGACATAAAATTCCTTCCATCAACTCCAGATTCAATGCTCTACTGTCTACCTAAAACAAACAAACTGTGATACAAAAGTCAAGCTTACGATAAATTGCTTTCAAACTTTGATACGAAACTGTCATGAAACTATTACCCTTTTATATTCTGAAGATAAATTGCTTTAAAAGTGACATCTTTTTAGAGAATGTGCATAAAATTTGGTGACAGTGTTACACACCTCTCATAATTCCTACGTCTTCTATAAGAGGAAGACAAAACAGAGCAATAGATTATCACCAAAAGGAATAGATATAGATTGAGATATAAATGCACATCTTGTCTTTATATCTCAAATGGTGTCAGTGAAGAATTTATTTTGGTCAGTCTTGTGAGCCAAGATTAGAGGACAAAGAAATCATTTTGTTTTATCTTTTTTCCTGATAATGAGGAGAAAGGAATAATTTGCCATGAATAGCAAGGTAAAAAGATATCAGACTAGATGATTTTTTATACGAATATTTCTTCTTCTTTTATTTTGCAAAGAAGCAAACCACTATGTACTTACCTTTTGACCTAAAAATCTTTTTCCCATGATAGTTCGCGGTTTTTCTTGAAGTCTATTAGTACTTGTTTGAGCAAGTTATGGTTAAAAGCCAAATGAAATGAGTGGAAGATATATTTATATAACAAAATATAGTTTATTTATGCTCATGGGAGAAGCTGATTATCCACTATATACTTCAAAAGTGGGTTGGTCTATATATTAATATATGTTCAGATAAATAACCCATTAGAATTTTAATAAGAATGAATGTTAGGTAAGTTATAGTAGCAAGCAACTGACTAGCAGCCTTCCTGCTAGTGTGATACCAAAGAAGGGTGTGAACAAGGGGCCGAAAAAGAAGGCATATGGGCTTAAAGGAAAAGAGAAAAAAGAGAAAATGTATTGGAGAATGATGGAAAAAGATTGGTGGGAATTGAAATCCACCTTATATATGCGCATTGCGCACTGAGAAGAAAGCACCATATATATTTTTGAATCAACACAAAAATAAAACCCTCCGACTATGTGGGCCCATTTCTGCCATGGCCAAGAACCAGCACCCACCTCAACCCCTCACCCCATCATTACCATCGAGAATTCTCTCTTACTCTTTCTCTCATTCATCAACAATTGTACCATCCACACAAAGTCACAAGAAAACAATTACCCATTCTCTTACTCCTGTATCTTTGTTTTTGGAATTTTCTTTTCTTCTTTTGCTTTTCATTTGGGTCTAATTCATCCTCTGAAAGCCTGACTTAACCTTAGTTATGGTGATGGGTGGCTGGTGAGGAACTGGACTTCGGCTGTTTCTGGTTTTGCTATAATGGGTAACTGTTGGTTCAGGTGGGAGCCTTCAGTTTACAGAGTCTCTTCCAATGCAAAGTCAGGTTGGTCCTCATACATCTTTTTTTTTTCTTTCTTTCTGTATGTTTCTCTAAATGGGTTTGTCAGTATGCTTCTGTTGCTTTTCTCATTAGATTAGTGAGAGATTGGAGTAGAACCTTAGTTCAAATAATCATGCTCTGTTTCTCTCTGCTTTGGATCCTCATGTATAATTTGTGGATTTGTGTGCTGTTCTTCCTCGTACAAGAAACTCAATACATAAGTCATTAATCAAATTGATTTTGACTATCTTACGAAAAGTTTCATTTTAAGAGTATTTACATAGCGATATGCAAAAAGATCCTTTTTCCTTTTCGGACTGAGATATATCGACTGGTCAAAATACAAAACTCTGTGCTTCTGTATTTTTCATTAGTTTTTGCTGTTATTTATGTAGGCAACATGTTTTTGTTGGATTTGTTTTGTAATCCTATATGTTTAGAGGAAAAAACAAATGAACAGAATATACCCTTTCACTTTTTCTCTATGGCCGCTTAAAAAGGTAATAGATTTACCTTTCTTGTTGGAAGTGAATACTCCTCATGCCTTG